AGGAATTTGGGGTGCTGCCATCCTCCCCTAGCCCTACCCAGCGATGCTCACCCCAGGGCTGGCACTGCCCATCTGGGCACCAGGAGGACTCGTCCCTGTCCCCCCGTGGTGGCAGCCCCTGCATGCGGGGTACTCAGGACCAGCACAGGCAGAGCGAGCTTCGCCTCCCCCTCCATCACGGCAGGGGACCAGCATTGACGTAAGCGTGGAGGGAAGGCAAAATGTTTTCTTCAGGTTTGTTTTGTTCTGGGGTTTTGGGGTTTTCTGTTTGTTTCCTCTGGGCCAGTTTTAGCTCTGTTTACACCACGGTGGTCTGGCATCATGTCTGGTGAGAGCTTCTGTGCTCTGGGGCCAGCTTCTCGCCCCAAGAGCATCGTTTCGGCCCGTGGGAGATGGAACAAATCCCCCTTCCCCGGGGAGCAGCCGTGGTCCCACCAACAGTGTGGCAGCGCCATTGCCCCCGAGGCCTCAAAAATATGAGAGCTCCCAGAAACCCAGTGCCTCCCAGTCTCATGCAGATGATGGCAAGGTCCTGGCACTGGGGAGCTCTGGCCAGCCCTGCTCAGGGCAGCATGAGGACATTTCCCTGCCAGGCTGTGGTCGCCCCGGTGTCCCTTGCAGCCCTGGTACAATGATGTGCCCAGGAGCTGGCAGGGCAGCTGCTGGGCCAGGGGTGGGTAGGAAATCCTGCCCCACCATCCATCCAGCCGAGAGCAGGAGGGTCAGGCCAGCTCCTGCCCCAAAGTCAGACAGGTTATTTTTAACCCTCTGTGACCCCACTGGGGTCACACTCACCTGCAGAGCCTCGCAGACCTGCTCCACGCTCAGTGTGTCCTTGATGAACTTGACGCAGAGCTGGAAAGCAGATGGAGAGAGGGCGGGCAGAGCCGGGGCCCAGCCCCGCCACCCTCTCCCATGACTCTCAGCACCCCTTATCCCCCAGGACGTGGGAGGTGGGGTGGAGTCAGCTCCAGCCCCGCAGGGTTTCATAAGGCAGTGATGGGCCGTGGGCAGGCAGCCCGGGCACTGATTCAGCCAGGGACCAAGCTTGATGTGACCAAACCCCAGCCAACCTCATAGCCCCAAGTGGATCACCTAACCCTGGCCACGGTCACTAGCTATATCCTGCCACGGGGGATGGCCCTGCTGCTGGCTGCAGCGCTGGGTGACCCCAGCTTTGCCCAGCCCTGTCTGCCAGCTGCTCTCTGCCTGTGACTGTTGGGGGACCAGCATCTCTGTCTGCAGCCCAAATGTGGGTGATGTACGTGGGACGCAGCCAGACGGGCATGTCTATCAGGGAGCAGGACGTCCCTCTTGCCCATCTCAGTTGCCTCCCACGCAAAGGGGTCAGAGCCCCCGGGAAACCCGAGGGGATGTGACATGCAGGGAGGAGCCGTCAGCTGGAGCAGAAGGGCCCTGAGTCACTGGCGGGAGGGAGATGAGGTCACCCTGCAGCTGGGGACACAGCCACGGGCTTCCCCAGCTTCGCCTTGGTCAGCCCTCTCCCTCCCACCCTCCTCTATGGCTCTCCCCACTGCAGATCATCCCCCTGAGGATGCATTTGCTGGCTGGTGGGGTGGGATTCATGTGGCTGGGGCACTGGATCCCCCTTTCTGCAACACCCCTTATGTCCCTTCCCTGCCCAGCCAGCTGTTTGACAGCCCCGTGCTACATCTGGGCTTTGGCTGAACTCGTCCCTATGGGGTGATGGGGCAGGTCCCCTCCCGCTGCCCCGGCACACAGCAGTGCCTCAGCAGCTCAGCAAGGTCCTTCACCAGCACAGTGGGAAGGGAGGGGAAGTCCGCGCATGAGATGGCAGGTCACGCGATCGGCCTGGCTGTAATTCAGGAATCGCTCTGATGACGTGGCCTGGTCGCCCTCCCCAACACCAAGCAGTTCCAGCTCCCTGGTCCCTCCTTGTCTGGCTCTCATCCCTCCTTTTTGCTCCCTGCTGCCTTCCCAAAACCTTCCTGCCTGAAGCAGCACCCCTGTGGTAGCACCGCAGCTGGGGTGCTGAGTGCTCCCCAGGACGGGG